CACCTACGTGCACAACTGGATAATTTTTCATTTTAAGTTCCATCTAGCATTTGAATCTTGAAGGCATTTTCGTGAGTTAGAACGTAGTTATTTTGGGGCCTGTTTTCTTTATGTGTTTGCTGACGCAGATCCGACCGCGCCAGCCACCTGCACTTTTCCCCGCCTCCGGCCTTCTTGGCGTGGTCAGGACATAGAGTGTACACATCAAAGAAATGTTTAAGAGTATACTAAAATACCTTCCAACACCTCGCTCTCTTTGTCAGAATGAGTTCATTTCAGTCGCTACAAATATTATTTGGAGTTATGTTCTACTCTCTATTGGACCTGCACCATACGCTCAATTACCTTACCTTTGAAGGCTTATTCTGACTGCGTACTATTCACTATAAATCTTCAGTCATATGCAAGGACGCTTTTTCTTACTTTATTCTCTCTTTAGGATATGGAACGATTTGATCGACTCTTGCAAGAACAACAAGTGGCAATTCAACAAACTGATGAAAAAATTGAAAAGCTTTCGAATTTTTGCCAGGATTACAAGCGTCTCATGCCAAGATTAGAGGAATTATCAAAGCATTTTACAAAGCGGGCCATCATTCCCTTTTCCCCTAAAGCATTTGTTCCTGCTCAATTAATACATACAAACGAAGTGCTTGTCCATCTTGGTGGGAGCGCAGAACACTTCTGCGAAATGTCAACCCACCAGGCCTTATCCCTCCTCGCCTCAAGAATTAAAAGAGTTGAGGCTGATATATCCAAGTTAAAAGAACAACGAAAGCTCCTTACCGACAGGGAGACGCTTACTTCGAAATTGGCCCGAGGTTCTAATCCCTCCAGCCTAAATACAGATGCCCAGGAGACCAATGAATTTGAAATAAGAGAGGAATATGATCCGGCGCAAGAAGAAGAATGGCTGAAGCAGCACAGGCAGCGCGCCGCTGTGGAAAGGAAGAAGGAACAAGACAGGCCGCGTCAACAAAGGGTTCGATTTAAGGAGTCCCCGTCACCATCCTCTGACGGGGATACCGAGTCCTCTGGTTCCGAATGTTCAACCTTGCCCACGATTTCATTTCATAATTCAAACC